CAGGAGAAGAAAGAAGAGGTTGTGGTTACAACCTCGATCCGTCTCTTATTCTAGATCCAAGGTTCCAGACACATGAAGACTTTCTGAACATGTTTAGAGAATAAGATACGAGCTTTAAGATCTGCAGAGACCAAATGTATTTATCATAAGTGTGTGTGTGTGTGTGTGTGTGTGTGTGTGTGTACCTGGAAGTACAGTGCTGACACACTTTCTCGTCGTCATGTCAAACTCTCCGTGGTCACATTCACACATGAAGGATCCCTCCACGTTCTCACAGCGAGCCGAACCACACACACCGGCCAGAGACACACACTCGTCCTCATCTGAGAGACGAGGACGGAGAAGATGAGTAAACACGTCAAAAAGCAACAACTGTGTTAACGCTGCAGAGCTGGATCAGGACGTGTTTCTGTCCTCTCAGCTTCAGCTCTCGCTCTGCTGACGCTTTCACTTTAATGTGGACAGATTGTGGTCGTATCACAGACCCACAACAACAACACACGTCACACTGTGTGTTTGATTTTAAAATCTGATTTCAACCACAAATCAAGAGACCAAACAAATTGAATTTCTCTTAATGAGGACGTCCTCTTGTCTCTTTTATGTCGATGTATTCCGGCTGTGATGTGAAACGTCTGGTGACGAACACGTACCGACGCAGGACTTTGTGTCTGCGGTGGAGGTGAAGCCCTGGTCACACACACACAGGTACGTCCCGATCAGGTTCTGACAGAAGGCGTGGTCCCCACACACCGTCCTATTGGCACATTCGTCAATATCTGACGGAGACGACACAGACGGACAGTTACACTCGTCTCTTTAAGTTCAAATAAATCTCTTTAGATGTAAACTACTTTCTCTCTACTGCAGCAAATGGAAAAACAAGTGTACATAAAACATCTGCAGGAAATACAGGAAGTGTAATATTGACATAATGAGAAGAAGAAAGAAAGGAAACAAAGACTCATGATTTATTCAGGTGTCCATATTTTCCTGTCACAATAAATTAGATTTTCTCTGGTTTTATTGTGAAAACGCTTCAGTGTTTGTTCAGTCTGATCTCAAACCTGTTTCTCACCAAGACTCCTTCCTGTGTTCTGTCTCTTTTACCCTTTCACTTCTCTGGAGGACTTTTACTGTGAAACAGGAAATGCTGCCCTCAGTGTCAGTTTGTGCGTCACGACTCCGCGACAGCGAGGACTCACCTTCACACCCGCCCTGGTACACCTGGTAGCCTGGCTCACAGGAAGCGAGGCAGCGATACGAACCAATGGTGTTTTCACAACGCTGCGAGCTGCAGACCGACCCCCCCGACGCTACACACTCGTCAACATCTGGAAGAAACAGACGAGACATCTTCAACAAACGTTTGTGTCCTTTCAAACCTTAGTGACCTATGACCTGTGTGTGTGTGTGTGTGTGTGTGTGTGTGTGTGTGTGTGTGTGTGTGCGTGCGCACCGAGGCAGGTGGTCCTCTCAGGGTTGGTGGTGAAGCCGGGTTGACACTGACAGTAGAAGGAGCCCTCAGTGTTCACACAGCGGCCGTCCACACACACACCCGACTTTTCACACTCATCCACATCTGCAGAGAGAGAGAGGCCGTCACTACAAGCAACACACACACACACACACACACACACGCACACACACACACACACACACACATGTCTACACTTCCTCATGAGCACAGGCCAAAGATGACATCAGCATTACATCAGCCCTGAAACAGATGAACTGAGCTGTGTGTGTTTCCAACAACTGTTTCAACAACTCTAATACACAACTCTACTGTTCAGTGTTTCTGGACAACAGACGCACAAGTCTGAATATTTATGGTTTTAGCTGGAACTCAACTGCAGTGGAGTTGCTCACATCACAACAACAACTACACAACTATGAAGAGGAAAGTTCCCCCTGTTTGATTTCAAAGTTCTTCTTGTTTTATTTTAGATTCATGACGCTGAACTCACCGAGGCAGGACGTCCTGTTGTCGCTCAGCGTGAATCCCTGAGAACACACACACGTGTAGGATCCAGGCGTGTTCACACACTCGCCTCTGGAGAAACAGAAATCTCCCTCCAGACACTCGTTAATATCTGAGGACACACGTTAAAACTCATTGACCCTATGAACCTTGATTCTGCTTTATTTAAAGGTCGTCATGTCGTCCATCTTTATTTCCAGCCTGGTGTCCGATGGTTTTATCTCTCACCTCTGCACTGCCTCCCCAGGACGGAGGTTCGATACCCAGGCAGACAATTGCACCTGAACGAGCCGACGGTGTTCACGCACTCTCGCTCGTCGTCGCACGCCCCAGCGCTCGCACACTCGTCCACATCTGCAGGACAGAGAGGGGGCGTGGCATTCTTACTACTTTTATTTATTCACTGATACAGCAACTGTGTGTGTGTGTCTGTCTGTGTGTCTGTGTGTGTGTGT